AAAAGACTCATTGTACTGCAATTTTGGCCCATACAGTATTCCTTTCCCGCCCCTCCCCCCGCCCACTTTTCATTGCAGCCCAATCTGATCTGCTTCACACTTTGCAACAGGATTATTTTTATTGTTATGTTCTTGAAGAGATACTGCAATCGGATCCAATTCAGAGAAACTTGCCTATTCACTTTTTTAAAAATAGTTTTAGCTGAAGAAGTACCCAGTTCTAGTGCCCTCTGGTAGAATGCTGACTCGTTTAAAGAACTCCTATGTCTTCACATCAACAGGAAGCACAGTACACCTGGCTTGTGGCAATGTCTACCCGCAATAAAACAAAGGCGCCTTCCAGATCATCAGGTCGCAACTCATGCCATGTCCTGTTCACTGTGCACGTGCCTACACACAAGGTGCATCACTGGCAAAGGAACATAGCAGGCTTCCGGCACATAGGAATGCAGGAGGTGGCTTCAGAGGTGACTTGACAACCTAAAGTCGGCTTTTTTTTAACACTCTGTTTATAACGCAGTTGGTGAATCCAGCACAAGCTGACTTGTATGAGTTGTGTTCCTGGTTTTGCTCCATGTCAAGAAATACTACAAAATGAAACCATCTTTTCTTGTTTCTACAACAAAACTTCAGAGAGTTATCGCCAGCATTGCTGAAACATCCATAACTCAGAATTTTCAGTAACAGTGAAATGATGGCACATAATCTTTCTATAAACCAAAATTTCAGGCACACAAAGTGCCTAAGCTCAAATAAACCCCAAGATAGAACCTACTTCTACATTGCAGCAACCACTAGAAGTACATAATACTAATAATACTTGCATTTAATATAGAACCTTATCACATCATTGAAGCATAATAATAATCCTTGCATTTGATATAGCGCTTTTCACGTCGGGAGGACGTCCCAAAGCGCTTCACAGAACACACTGTAAAGTGAATTGACTGTATATTTGTGGGCGAACGCGGCAGCCAATTGCGCACAGCAATGTCCCACAAACAGTCATAGACTGAAAATGACCAATTTATTATTGTTTTTGGTTTTGGAGGGATTATTATTAGGCTCTGTGTGGAGTAAGGAAACTTGCCCAAGGTTTCGCCCTCTGCCTGGAATTGAACTCACGACTCTCCCTTGCAAAGCGAGTGCTCTAACCACTGAGCTACAGGATTCCACAAATAGTGCCATTGTAGCTTTAGAGTCCACGTAGATGCAAATGGTGGCATCTACTGGTGCATTTAGAGATGACGTTTCAAGCAATGATTATTATAGTACGATCAGCTGCGTCCAATGTTTTAGAGGCTGCTTTGTGAGTGAGTCGTACAGTGGAGTCCTGTAGCTCAATGGTTCCAGCTAGAAGCGGGCTAGTGCAAGCGAGACACCTGTGTTCGATTTCCGAAGCATGTCGAAACGTTGGGCAAGTTTGCTTACTCAACACGCCTTTGTTTACCTAGCAGTAAGTAGGAACCTAGTTGTTAGTCGATTGTCGGATTGCTTCTCCAGGGTAATAATTCCTTCAAAAAAATAATAATAAATTGGTCACTTCAATCCACGACTGTTTGTGGGGACGCTGCTGTGCACAATTGGCTGCCGCGTTTTGCTGCGTACATAAATGCTATGTGGAGGAGGCGCTGCTAACATCACTTTCTGCGTGCTTCACATTCACTGCAGCAACAGGAAGTCCTGCTGAGGACACTTCCTTTATAAATAGACATTAGTGAAGTAGATATATTAAAGAATATGAAAAGAAGGCAGAGAAATGGGATTATGGGGTGGTAGTAAGTAAAGTAGAGCCACATAACTGGTGGCAGCACATGCTCAGTGAGCTAAATGTTCTTTTGAGCCTAAATTCCTATGCATCTGTAACAATTTATTTGAGAAGCAAAGCTCTTTTAGGTTTGTATAATGCGTGTCAGATTCCTCCAATTGCTGAATCCCCACTAGATTTCATAATTAAAAAACCCTAAGAAATTCTGTCCTGCAGTCTTGTGAATCCTTCACACATCTAGAGGCATTCAGCTGGATTGGATTTTGATTGCATGTGAGTGAAACTTGAGACAATGCATTCAAAAAACAAATTCTTTCAACAAAATGTAACAATTTTTTCATAATAGTGATCTCAATCATCGGGTCCTAGGTAATGTAATTGCTGAATATAGTTTGCTGAGCGATATAGTTTACATTTTGCGAATTTAATAGAAATTTAATTCCATTTGCTTAGTAAATAAACATCCAAATATTTGCTGACTGAATAATTCATTTTAATTCAATTGTAGTGTCAATTATGACCACATTTTATAATGGATGGTTCATCCTCTTCAAATCAAGCTATTCTCCAGGACTGTGTTTTCTCCCATATCTTGTCATTCTCCATGTCAGTGACCTCCAATCATCACTGATAACTCCACTCCGCATTCACCAGTTTAATAGTTATAGTCACCATGTTATCTGCTTTCCTATCAAATCATTCTAGCGCTGCCTTAGTTGGTGTTTCATTCTCTGACTCCTATTTAGGTCAACTCAAGGCTTTCCTAAAGCTCTGACTCTCCCACTTTGCTCCTTTCCAAATCAATGACATTCCTCCCACTCATCAGCCAACCGCATTCATTATTTTTCCTGCTAAACCGCTCTGCATTCATCATCTCTCACCTTTAGACTCTATCCTCTCTTTCTCTTGCTTTCTTTTCCGATGCACTCTTTGTTTTCTTTCTCTATTTTATCGATATTGCTTTAATCAATGCTTTACTGAACCTTTCCGACCTTAAGAAAGTAAGAGTAGGTCATTTATCCCATTCCATAAGTCCTCCTAGACTACAAGTATGTATGCCATTCCACACATCAATCTCATTGATCATTTCCTAGTCTATAATCCCTTCCAGGGGTAACAATCCCTTCAAAATAGAATCATAGAATCATAAAATTATACAACCGAAGGAGGCCGTTCGGCCCATTGTGTCTATGCCGGTTCTTTTAAAAGAACTTCCAAGTCAATTCCACTCCCCCACTCTCTCTCCATTGCCCTGCAAACTTGTCCTCCCCAAATAATTATAAGTAAATAAATAAATAATTTGATCATTCAATCCACGACTATTTATGAGACACTGCTGTGCACAATTGGCTGCCGCGTTTCACCACAAAATATAGTCAATTCACTTTACAGCTTTACATGAAGCGCTGTGCGATGTCTCGAAGTCAAAATAAGCCTCTATATCAAATGTAAGGATTATTATTATTGTTATGTAACTCATTCTTGCATGGGACCTCAGGAATCTCAATCTTATCTCTCTATGGCTTCCTTCCATCAAAGATCCTAGAGGCTTTTAAATTCCAAGCACTGCATCAGCTAGGTAATACTTCTTGATTTAGCTTTCTTCTTTCCTAACCTTCAAATTTAGTAGTGTTTTACACGACAGACCTGGGCTGTACATCAAAGCAACCCAATTAATGCAAAAACATTGAGTCTCACGTTTCTCCAGACAGAATTAGAGGTGATTGCTATTTTAAAATCCCTTTAATGAAATTAATTATTAAATTTAAAGCATCATCTTCATTCCAAGTCCAATTTTTACTCAGTGGTGACCCATAAAATAACAACAACTTGTATTTAATAGCATCCTTTGTGCCAGATGGCGTCTCGGAGCGCTTAACAATAAAACGCGTTACATCGTTTGAGTTCTGTGGCCTGATATTGATCTCCATTAAGTTGCATATTCAATTAGCATGTTTAAACCTCAAGGTTCAGTTTTACACAGCAGGCCATCACTGTAGTTTGCTATCGTAATAAGTGTACCATACGGTAGTTAGTGTTTCGTGGTGTGGTCATTTCATAATTAGCTCGCAGACTGCTCAGAAGAGAAGCAGAAACATTGTACTGAATTTCATTTCAGCTTCTGACATTAAACCTAAACATTTACTTTGTATTCAGTACATGTCTCTAAACATATAATTTCTAATGATTCCATGACATCAGTGGCAAATCAAGTTGCATTGTGAATGCAATATTAGAAGCAAGGAGGGCTTTATTGGGGCGAGGGCCAAAAAGCTGGCGAGATAGTACTCCCAGGCTCCCTGTCTAAGAGCTTCATTCTCTTGGTGTCAGATGTGTAAAAATATATTTTATACAATGACAGTTTAAAAAGTATCCTCTTAATACCATAGTTTATGTTTCACTTTCCATTCATCCTGACTGAGGACATTATGCCAGACTACAACAATGAGAAAGAGTAGGATTCACAGTTCTATGATTCTACCTTATTGAATCCCTTTTTCATTTTAAATACCTTAATTAGATCTGTCCTCAACCTTCTAAACTCAAGGGAATACAAGCCAAAGTGCTTTGGACTGTGTATTTTGTGAACAAAATGTGGCAGCCAGTTGCGCACAACAATGTCCCACAAACAGCCATGAAGCGAATGACCAATTATTTTTATTTGGGGGCTTGTTGGCCAGGACACAGGGAGAAACGCCCTTCTCTTTTCAAATAGTGCCATGGAATCTTTAACATCCACCTGAACTTTGTTTAAACGTGTCACCTGAAAGACGGCATCTCCAACAACCCCCGCCTCACCCAGCACTGCATTGGAGCCTCAGCTTTACTATGTGATTTCAAGTCCAGTCGTGGGTCTTGAACCTACAACTTACTGACTCCAGGTGACGCTGTGTGAGGCTGAATCACACCTCGGTATTTATCATATGCACAATAAAACTATTGGTAAAGCAACAACAACAGCATCAAGATTACATTTGTAAAGCGCCTTTCACGTCGGGAGGATGTCCCAAGGCGCTGGACAGTGACAGCATTTCAGCCCTGAGCTGGGGTTGTACCAAAACAATAGTGAAAACCTCTCGAAACAATTCTCGATGAAAAGTACCTGGATGTCATAGCTAACCATGTGGAATGTATTCTCTCATACATACTTGCAATGTCTCATTGCATAACCTCCTGAAACAAGCGTCAACCAGATCGCAATCACAGTTTAAGCAGGAGATTATTTTATTACCTGGATCAATAGTTCTAGATCCATGGAATCCACACACAGGTGCTTTTCCAGAAACTCCAGCTTCTCCACTATAATAGTGGTCCTCTGACTGCTTTCATTCGGTTGCTCCAGTGCCTTAAAGACAGTGGCCCCGACAATCAAATACAGCACCACCAGCAGAAAAATAGCCGAGACTGTCTTCCATTTCATCACAGTGGGGGTCAGGTCGCTGTCATCCCCTGGGGTTAACACTATAGGTTTCGTAGAAAAGGAAAGCCTTGGTTTAGCATTCTGAGTCGCAGATTTCGGGTCCAGCAAGTCAGGCGCTGCCACTGGCCAACACACAATAAGAGACAAATTATTGAGTAAATAGGAAAAGGTTTTGGTCTAAGAATCACACACAACAGACAGAAAACATGCAGAAAACACACAGAGAACACACACAACAGAAACCACACAGAAAACACACACAAAAGAGAACACACACAACAGAGAACACAAAACACCACACACAGAAACACACTCGTTCTGGTTCATCATCTTCCATTACTGAGATGAATTCTTGCCTCCAGGAGAATATGATAAAAATCCCCGATTGTAAACCTTATAAAAGATGCAGAACGTATTTCGCAACACAATAAATGCCGCTGTGATCGATACTTGTGAAAAAAAATGTGTGAATCAATGTTTTTTTTCAAAAAAAGATGATGAGATTCAACGTTTTTGTGAGAGTCGGAGCTGCACAATTCACACACTTTTTTTCATCACAAATTGTGTCTGGAGATTTTCACCATGATTCCTCTTTGCCGAATAGTCTTTGTTGTGCACATCTGTAGATGCCTCAAATCACCTGCTGGTGTGTGTCTGTGCTTCTGTCTGTCTGTGTGTGTGTCTGTCTGTGTCTATCTGTGTGTGTGTCTGTCTATCTGTGTCTGTCTGTGTGTGTTTGCGTGTCTGGTGTCTGTCTATCTGTGTGTCTGTCTATCTGTGTGTCTGTCTATGTGTGTGTCTGTCTGTGTGTGTGTCTGTCTGTGCTCAGCTATTACAAAGATCTATTTGAAATCCAATCCACTCATTCAAAAATAATATTAACGCACATCAGTCACTGAGTGGATTGAACCCAGGAAAGTGGGGAGGGCTGATGGGGGGGGATTTGTACATTATGCACCCGGCGAAAAAAAGCAAGTTGCTGTATATTTTATGAGGAATTAAGGAAGAAATTGGCATTTTAATTGAAATTCTGAACGATTTTGCCCTAAGAGCTCATTCAAAGCAGCTCAATCAGCGTTCGGGTACCAGGGAATATTTCTGATATATAAACCATACACATTTTTCACAGCAATCGAGCAAAATCCTGAACATCAATCGCACACAGTCTATTGCCCATCCGGCGACCAGATCCTCAGTTTAAACAAAACAAAACCCACTCTTCCTGATCGTTGTCATAGACCAAATGTACATTTATTGTCAATCATAAAAGCCCAATAATTGCAATAAACGCACATCTGCTTTGCACAAACTGAAGTGTCACCGCCAGAGGAGAAGCGAAACACTTACTTCTTGTCGAGCAATTCAACCGAATCCTCCAACATCAATGGCTTTTGTTCATTTTCCAAAGGTGAGACTCGCATTGGGGAGTGGATGTCGCTGCCACATGGCCGCACTGTCCATCCCAATCCAAACGCGTGGGGCTCTCTCTCTCTCTCCCTCTCTCTCAGTCACTCTCTCTCTCTCTCTCTCTCTCACACACACACACAATACACACATTCACACACACCTCTCCCTTCATTTAAAGAATCCACAGCCATTAAAATCATTCTCCCATATCCCCCGACAGTCCGAGCCCCGCCCTCCCCTGCGGTCAGTTCAGCTCCAGCGGATTGTGCGATCCTCGTTATTATTGGAATGGGATCTTTTTCGGGACAAAAAAAAAGAAATGGTCACATTTACAAACAATAAACACCGCATAGGAATGAACCCCACCAATCTAATCAAACAACGTATTGCGTAAAATTTTGCCTGAAAGGCTGATGAACAATATGTTTACCATCTCAGGCTTTCCTTCACTTGATGCACATCACAATCTGCATTTTCTTATATTCTCCTACAAATACACCTTACAGTCACACCTCACCCCAAACACAGCCTTATCCCTCATCCATGTGTTTGTCACCTCCCGCCTGGATTACTCCAACCCCCTCCTCGCGGTCTCCCCATCTCCATCATTCACAAGATCAGCTCATTCAGACTCTGCCGCTCACATACTGACCCGAACCAAACTCCCTACCCACATCTCCCCAACTCTGGCCCAGGCTCCACTGGCTCTCCATCACCAACACATCCACTTCAACATCCTCTCACTCTCTATTCAAATCCCTTCACTCCCTGGCACCTCCCTCCCTCCATCCTCACCCCCAATCCACCACCCGGTCAGTGCCTCTGCTCGACTGGCCCCGGTTCCTGCTCGTCCCTCGCACTCTTTGTCCCACCATCGGAGATTGTGCTTTCAGCCACTACGCCCTGAAACTCTGGAACACTCTCCCTCGATCCCTCCACCTTGTCCCCTCTGTCCGCTTTTTTAAGTCCCGCCTGAAAACCTTCCTCTTCGACCATGTTTACGGCCACCTCCCCCTCCCCCCCAGCTTGGAGTCAGGCTCCAAACTGTTAAGCTCTGAGATGATGCCCTGTGTGGAGGGCGCTGTGTAAGTGCAAGTTGTGGTTGTTGTACCGTAAATACTGAGAGCAAGTTTGGGCATTTCCACGACGTGATTACAGCAACAACAAACAACAAAATGACATTTATAGAGTGCCTTTCACGTCGGGAGGATGTTCCAAGATGCTGGACAGTCAGGTGTCGGGGCCCGAGAATGGGGGAGGGGTGAGGGAATGCAGAGAGGTGGGAGGCAGACCAAAGGCACAGTCAAATAGAAGGGTCTTGAGACCGGCCTTGAAGGATACGAGAGAGGAAGCGAGGCGAAGGGACCGCGGGATGGAGTTCCAGAGTGTGGGGGCAGAGAGGTTGAAAGCCCGGCCCCCGATGGTAGGGCGGATTGGGCGGGAGACATGGAGCAGCCGGAGCCCGATGAACGGAGGAAGTGGGCAGGTTGGTAGGGAGTCAGCAGCTCAGAGAGGTAGGAGGGGGCAAGGCCATGTATAGCCTTAAAGGTGAGGACGAGAATCTTGAACTCGATCCTCTGAGGGATGGGGAGCCAGTGGAGTCAGGCGAAGGTGGGAGTGATGGGGTCACGGAGCCTGGTGCGTAAGAGTACACGAGCTGCAGAGTTTTGGATGATCTGCAGATTGTGAAGGGAAGAGTTGGGAAGGCCGATGACGGAGTTCCCGTAATCGAGCCCTGAGGTGACGAATGCATGGGTGAGGGTTTGGGGGCCTGAGTGGTAAGGCAGTGGCGGAGTCTGGCAATGTTGCAGAGGTGGTGGTAGGCAGTGCCAGTCATGGTGCGAATGTGGGAGCGAAAGGACAGTTCAGGGTCAAACAAGACACTCAGGTTCCTGACTGACTTAGTGAGGTTGAGTGTGCAGCCGTGGAGGCTGATGCTGCGCCCGAGGTGCGGAGGCAATCAGGAGGGCCTCGGTCTTGCTGATGTTCAGTTGGATTAAGCACTATATCAAATGCATTTTGTCCACAAAATACACAGTCACTCCACTTTATAGCAACTCCTGTAAAGCTCTTTGACGACATGATAAGGCGTTGCATCAAATGCAAGGATTATTATTAATAAGGATTTCTATTATGATCCAAAAGATTCATCTACTTATTTGATCTTTGGTGGTGGATATATTTCCAAATATTTAGATGTCACAAGTAAATCCACAGGGTAAGTGTTTGAACAAAGTGTGTATAGTTGATACACAAAGTTAGATGCAGGCAAATGAAAGCAAGGCTACTACTGACAAATCAACCTGAAAGGAACTTAATAAGCAAATTAAAACGTTTACAGCCTCACAGGACCACAAGTTCTGAAAAGGGTGCTTCTATTTTTAGAGGACTTTGTGCCTTGTTTTTGTGGAGGAGGCTACATCTGGATTTTATTTTCTCATGGTGGTCGTTTTTTTCTGACTAATTAGCACCAATTGGATGTAATAGTTCAACCAAAGAGCGTGGGCTCTAAATAGCCTCTGTTAAGGTCACAAGCATCTGTTATAGAGCTTGAAACATGCACATTTCTAAAAAAAAATTGACATTTAATTACAATAACTATTTTTGTAGGCAAATGCAACAGCCAGTTGGTGCACAGTGAGATCCCGCAAACAGACATGAATTGATTCGAGCAATTGTTGGCCAAGACACCAGAGAAACCTCTTCTTTTCCATTAGTATTCATTTAATGTGCTGAACTCCTTCAAGCAGTTGGTACCTTATTGCCTCCTGCTAAGGACGAGTTATGCAAAGGATGGCTCCTCCAACGCTGCAACTATTTGTTGGAGACAGTGTTTACTTTGAAGCACTTTGTAATGCTACTATGTTATAAAAGTGCAAGATCTTTTTCTAACCAATCCAAATGGTTCTGAAACATTTCCCGTTTGTTGATTGTTTGTGACAGTTTAATTATTTATCTAAGACTTATGTTTGTACAATACGGCTAATTACTGAAAAATCCCAATCCGATACTACAGTATAGTATACACAATATGCAAATAGAGTACATGCAGACAAGTTATGAATACGTCCTAAAGTCTTAAGGAAGAACAGTTTACCAATTCATGTTGTAAGATCGTTTAACATTCCATTCCCAAGCATATTGGGAAGTCCTCGCAACGTGAATGTCACTATACAAATGTACATTTGTTGTTATTAAATTCAGTAACGTACTTATTATTGACACAGGTTGTTACATGAGTTCTAGAGAATATTGCTGGAGTTTTTTTTATTTAGAAATATGTTAATTAGGCAGGTGATAAGGATATAGTGCTACAGTATATTTTAAAAATATCTATCATGCCCATCAAAGTGAAGGTTGTCAGTGCCGGCAGGAGCTACACATTTTTTCTAGTGTAGGTACGCATTGTCAGCACCAAGCATTTCCAGGTTTGGTATAACACCAACAACAACAACTTGGATTTATATAACGCCCTCCACATCAGACGGCGTCTCAGAGCTTCACAGTAACGGATCCCGGGGCCGAGCCAGTGGGAGGGGGAGGGAAGGTGACCAAAGGCGCGGTCGAAAAGAAAGGTCTTCAGCAGAGACCTGAAAATAGGAAGGGAGGGAGCGAGGGGAAGGGAGTGAGGAAGGCAGTTCCAGAGCCTCGGGGCATAGTGGTTGAAGTCACGGCCGCCGAGGGTGGAGCGGAGGACTCGGGGGACGAGGAGGAGGCCAGACCCGGAGGAACGAAGGCAACGGGTACTGTTTTGAGGAGAGAGGAGATCAGAGAGGTCGGGGGGTGCAGGGGAGTGGAGGCATTTGAAGACAAGGCCAAATGCAGATAACATGACCAAATGCAGAATAAAGCTTCATTTATCTGCCCCAAGTACGTTCTTCAATCCTAAATGCAGAAGAGCACCTGTGACTCTTTGTGACACCTATCAGCGCAGACGTTCCTCTCGCCATACTAACCATAAGCATGACCTTCTTAAATGAAAGTGCCAACTAGGTGCTAATTAATACTAAATTATGGGCAGTTTTCTATTGTGCGTTAACACCCATTAGCAACCTATTTGAAGCTGCCCATTTCATACAGTACACATCGAAATTAGCAGAGAGGAGACAATTAGAAATCAGGTCCCTGAGATTAAATCACAATGATGTGGCATTATATCAAATGCAAAGATTATTATTGTTATTATGAAATTCATTATCACTCAACACGTTTTCAGGAATGGTGATTGTAGGAATATGTATACTCAGTTAAGAAAATACTGTATTGGCACTATAGAATCTGTACTGCTGGGGAGGTGAGCTAATTATTTGATTAAGGTTAATTTGTGCAAAGCATTCCCTCCAGGAGATTCAATGGAAGCGGCTGGGGGAATAGATATTGGTCAGTCTGTATTCAGAGCGAGCTTATTGGGCCAGATGGCCTTTTGGATTCCCTGTTTATGTTATTTTCTTACAACTGGCCCATGAGTGTGAGGGGTTTTAAGATGTAGAGCAATATTGTATGCTAGCCAATGATAACCGTTTCCTTTAATAAACACGACAAAGATAGGACAAAGCATTTGAACTTCTAATTATTCAGCCCTGCTATATTCGAAAAGAATTTCCATATTCTCAGTAAAGTGTCACAAAAACTAACTTCTCTAAATTCTGTAATGATCATCTTCAGCAGATGGCTGAACTAAACTCAGAAAATTACTTTTGATTTAGTAACTGGGCAGATGTTCAAAACAATAAAAGTCACACAATTTTGCTGGACAGAAGGTAGCTGTGTAATTTAGCTTGAATATGTAATAAACATATCATAGAAGCAAAAATTAATACATTAACAGGAATTTACGGCTAAGCCTACTAATTCAGTTAGTAGGAGTGAATATAGTGGAAATAAAAAGAAAATGTCTCGTTTCTGTTCACTCAACAGAATTATTCTCAATTAGGTACCAACTTAAGTGAACAGCTGTAAGCTAGGTACCCTTTTAAATAAA